CAGGAGTTTGAGACCAGCCTGGCCAACATGGTGAAACCCTGTCTCTACTAAAAATACAAAAATTAGCTGGGCATGGTGGCACGCGCCTGTGATCCCAGCTACTCAGGAGGCTGAGGTAGGAGAATCGCTTGAACCCCGGAGGCAGAGGTTGCAGTGAGCCGAGGTTGAGCCACTGCACTCCAAAAAAAAACCTTTATGAAAAATAGTACCCCAAATCCAATCAGTTGCTAGTTTAAGTGATGGAATAGAAAGAAAAGAGATCTAAGAATCATGATTCTTAGAAAACAGAAGTGCTAGAATAGAATGTAAACTTCAGTTAGTGGCTCTGATTTTGGATGTGAATAAATTCACTATTTGCATTACAGTAACATTAAAAAAAAGCAGGTTGTGAAGCCATCCTATTAAATTATACAAATAATGCAAAATTCCTCAAGTGAAATAAAACTTTAGTGAACATTAAAAAGTTGATTAACTTGTAGTGAGAGATTATTCATGTAAATAAGTGACTCACATCTATTGCCATTGTCCCTTTGACTACAGTTTCGGACTCATAGAAAAGAATGAACCCAGTGAATTGATTTCTAACCTTACCTCATTTATACCACGCTATCAACACCGCTATCTAATGTGGAAACCTAATTATTTCATTTTCCCCAGTTTTCCACTGGGGAGATAAGGACTAAATTCCTTTATAAGCTGCAGGTTGAGTACCATCATCATTAAGTTCCTGTAATACTGAACTACTACTAATTGATCCCCAAACAAGCCAGGCTCTCTCAAAGGCCTTTCTGTTTTTTGTTTCCCTCTGCTTGAAATTCTCCAATCCACCTCTACTCAAATGCTACTTTCACAGAAGGGTTTTCCTATTTCCCTACACAGTCTTCAGGTGACTGTCTTATGCTCTCATTAATGAACAATTTTAACTAATGTTGTACTGTTTCCTATTTTTGTCTCTCTACACTAAATTTTTGAGGGCACAGGCTATGACTTTTCATCTTTGTATCTCGACTGCCAAGCTCAATGCTTGGCATATTCAATATACAGTTCTTGAATAAAGGCCCAGTTTTTATATAAACACAGCTTACTTTATGCCATAATTTAAAAAATTCTAAACATAAAACTTAAAAATACATTTTAAAAGTGTAATGCATTAGTGTCTAACTGATATTTGAATAAAGTAGTATGAATTACTTGGTTAATTTGGATTTTTGGGTGTTTTTGTAACTGATTTTGTAGGTATTGCAACTTAAGGCAGAAAAGAGAATGTTATCAGCTAAGGATTATGATTAACAAAATTCTGGGACACTTAAATACAAGAAAATACATTTTTTTCCTGTTTGAAAAACCGCCACTTTATTTTTTTTGTGGTAAAACATACACAACATGAAAGTTACCATTTTACCCATTCCTAAGTGTATAATTCACTGGCATTAAGTATACTCACAATGTTGGACAACCATTATCCATTTCCTAGGAAAATACATTTTTTTAAGATCTCATTTTTATTAGTAAACATAGATAAACAACTGCTGGTTTTCAAGTACTATTATGATAACCATATATAAGCCAAAAAACATAGTCTAACAAGTGCCAATGAATTACGGAAAAATTAAGACAAAATATTTAAATTTCTTGAGTCATGCAACCTATATGTCAAAGGTGGGGAACCCCTCAAAACTAAATACCACAGAAATAGTACACCAGGATGTCAATTAAAGTCCTCTACCTTGGGAAAAGCAGCTTGTGACGCTGGTAAGCAGTAAGGTAAGGTAGCTTTGGCGCGCTCTCCCTATACTAACACGGAGGTTCTTAACCCGCGCTTGGAGGAGCCTGTAAAATGTGGCGATATGCCGTTTGGAGGATCTACGCAACTGGGGGTGGAGTAGGGAGCATGCATTGCTTTTATGCGAGTCTCAATTTTTAAAAACTATCACACTAGCAGGATGAGGCAGTGAATGCCCAGGCGAAGGCCAGGCCAGCCAAAGACAGGGAAGCCGCCGGGCTCCGAGCTCCCGGCGCAGCGCTGCGGTGTGCGGCGTGGGGGCCCAGGCGCTTGGGGATTGGAATTCCGGACCCGGCAGGAGGGGGCGGGGCCGGGGGGACAAGGCGCCGCCTCCGCCCCTTCGGGACCTGGAGGGTGCCCTTGTTTACCTCCCAGTATTTGTCACCCGAGACAAAGAGGGAAGGAAGGAGGGGCCTTCTGAGGGAAACTCCCTCGGCGGGAAGCACCTACTTTCAGAACGTTTTGTAACACCCCACGGGACGCGGGAACGGCTCCCTCCCGGCCCCCCGCGCCCTTTCTGAGGTTCCCTGCCTTGACTTCCCCGAGTTCTACGCCAACCTCAGCAACAGCGGGAGGAGCTGGGCAATCGGTTTTGCAGGGCAAACTCCAGGCTCTCCCCATTTATTACTCTCTGGGCGGCTTAGGGGAGACTCTGCAGGGCCACAGAGCAGAGCGACTACAGCTCCCAGGAGCCAACACTGCAGGGCTGAGCCGAGGCGGGAGACAGACAGGACCTAAATGGTGGTCGGAGGAAGGGCAAAGCGGACCTCTGCTGTTACCTTAGCGCCAGCAAACCGAGCCGCCGCCGTCGCCAAGCCAGGAGACCAACCCCCGGTCTCCCGACTAGGTATTTTTAAATCTGGCGGGGCTTTCCCTCCCGAGCCAACCACTCCCACCGTTTACAGTCCCAGCCAGTCAGCGTGAGGCCCGCCATTTTTCAAACCCTCTTCCCGCCGCCAATCAGGATCGAGCAGTACATTCCTCTCCTGACCGGTTCTAACGGGTCTGGGAGTTAACGACCTGGGCGACCCACCGAACCTGCTAGGCTGGGGCGTGGAGGGCGGGTCTGGTAAGACACTGGCCAATCGTTAGCCGCCGTGGCAAGGGGGCGGGGACTATCTGGGTTTGAATAATCGTCAGAACCAATCAGAGAAGTGGGGATGTGGCCTGTGGCCTAGCTCGTCAAGTTGCCGTGGCGCGGAGAACTCTGCAAAACAAGAGGCTGAGGATTGCGTTAGAGATAAACCAGTTCACGCCGGAGCCCGGTGAGGGAAGCGTCTCTGTTGGGGCCGGCCGCTCTGCAGGACTCTGAGGAAAAGCTCGCACCAGGCAAGAATACCCTCCAATACCCTCGGGTTCGTGGGCCTGCCTTTCCCCATTCCCTCAGAGCCTCTACTCGGTCTCGGCGCTGTGGCTCTCGGTGTCTGACCCGGCGAGCGGCATTTGGGGTGCGGGCCGGCGAGGGCCGGGGCTGTAGAGGGCCGGCGGGCAGTCGGAAGAGGCGGAAACTGCCCCCGCCCGGGCCCGGTTCTGGGAGTTTTCAATGTCGGTCACGAGGTGATTAGCGATTGAGTGAGGCTCGCGACGTGAAAGCCGGGGGACATTTCTGTCAGGAAAGGCGTCTTGAGGGCGCTTGCGGAGTCGCCGGACTCGTTGAAGGGCGGGAGGCGGCGTCTCGGGCCCCGGGAGCCACTTGCTGGGCGAGCGTGAGGAGTCGTCAGCCGCGGCCGCTCGGGCTGGGAGGAGGAGGAGGAGGAGGGTGCGCGCCGGGGCGGGGGCGCGGGCAGGGCGGGAGCGGATTTGGGCGGGAAGCGGAGCCCCGCCAGCGCCCGCCCTGGCAGCTGCGGGCTCCGCACCGACCCGCCGGCTTCCCCTCTCCCCCCTCCGCCCCGTCAGGTGGACGCCGATCTGTCACCATGGGTAAAGGAGACCCCAACAAGCCGCGGGGCAAAATGTCCTCGTACGCCTTCTTCGTGCAGACCTGCCGGGAAGAGCACAAGAAGAAACACCCGGACTCTTCCGTCAATTTCGCGGAATTCTCCAAGAAGTGTTCGGAGAGATGGAAGGTGAGGCGGGAGAGGGGGTGCAGGTGTGGTTTTCGGCTAGGAGGGCCTTAGGCAGGTAGGTAGTAGGCAACTCGAGAGCTTCAACTTTGCCACCCCCGATGACTCACCTGAATATCTTAAGAGTTTGAGGCAGACGATTTTAGGTTTTTACTTACATAAGACTTCGAAAGCAAAATGCAGTTAAGGAAAATGTGCTCCTTAAAGATGGTCTTCTCGTCTTTGGGTGTTTATAGGTAACAATTTTGCTGTATTCTTGGCGCTTATTTTTATGTCCACAGACCATGTCTGCAAAGGAGAAGTCGAAGTTTGAAGATATGGCAAAAAGTGACAAAGCTCGCTATGATAGGGAGATGAAAAATTACGTTCCTCCCAAAGGTGATAAGAAAGGGAAGAAAAAGGATCCCAATGCTCCTAAAAGGCCGCCGTAAGTTTAAAATAAACCAAATTGCCCCTTGGATTTTTCCTTCAGTTTATTAAGCTCTGTTGCTTCCTTTCAGATCTGCCTTTTTCCTGTTTTGCTCTGAACATCGCCCAAAGATCAAAAGTGAACACCCGGGCCTATCCATTGGGGATACTGCAAAGAAATTGGGTGAAATGTGGTCCGAGCAGTCAGCCAAAGATAAACAACCATATGAACAGAAAGCAGCTAAGCTAAAGGAGAAATATGAAAAGGTACATTGTCATCTTACTTTTTTAAAGCTGTGATTAAGACTAGGTATAGGGAATAACTGTAGAAAACTTGGGAAATTTAGTTAATCTTGTATTAATTAACGGTTGTCAGCTATGTTTTGAAAAGGCCTAATGAAAATTGTACACTTAAACACAAAGTAATCAAACCTTCCTTTTGAATGAAACCAGTGTTTGTAGCACTAGTATATTCCTGCAGACAGACTTGTAGTTACTGTGTAGTCTTTTTTTTTTTTTCCTAAAGCAGAGGGTCAAATAGTTTTATGTATATATATATATAATATGAAGGTACAGCAGGGACTATGGCACTGTGTGTGAGGTAAGAGAGTATTGTTAGTGAAAGTACTGATACTGCTGTATTGCAACCCTTGTCATTTTACACCATTAACTTGTTAAAGCCTAGAGGGATAAGTGCTCTTAACACTTAGACTGGCTACCTTTTGGACAGTTATCAGGGTTATTGGTCAATCATCTTCGATTGTTTACAAGTAAGTGGTTTTCACAGTTGAGTAATGACACCGGATGCTTACTTTATTTTTTTTTTTAACAATATTTCAGGATATTGCTGCATATCGTGCCAAGGGCAAAAGTGAAGCAGGAAAGAAGGGCCCTGGCAGGCCAACAGGCTCAAAGAAGAAGAATGAACCAGAAGATGAGGAGGAGGAGGAGGAGGAGGAAGAAGATGAAGATGAGGAGGAAGAGGATGAAGATGAAGAATAAATGGCTATCCTTTAATGATGCGTGTGGAATGTGCGTGTGTGCTCAGGCAATTGTTTTGCTAAGAATGTGAATTCAAGTGCAGCTCAATATTAGCTTCAGTATAAAAACTGTACAGATTTTTGTATAGCTGATAAGATTCTCTGTAGAGAAAATACTTTTAAAAAATTGCAGGTTGTAGCTTTTTGACGGGCTACTACATAGTTAGATTTTACAGCTTCTGATGTTGAATGTTCCTAAATATTTAATGGTTTTTTTTAATTTTTTGTGTATGGTAGCACAGCAAACTTGTAGGAATTAGTATCAATAGCAAATTTTGGGTTTTTTAGGATGTTGCATTTTGTTTTTTTAAAAAAAATTTTGTAATAAAATTATGTATATTATTTCTATTGTCTTTGTCTTAATATGCTAAGTTAATTTTCACTTTAAAAAAGCCATTTGAAGACCAGAGGTGTGTTGATTTTTTTTCAGTATTTCTGCCTAATAGTTCTTAGACACAGTTGACCTAGTAAAATGTTTGAGGATTAAAAGAAAACCAAACATGCTCATATTTGCAAAATGTTCTTTAAAAGTTATATGTGGAATTCAGTGAACTTTGTAAGAATTTATGCAGTTTTACAGAACGATTAAGTTTTATACTTGACATTTCTGTTTGTTCATTAGCTAACTTGTTCCTCAGGAATTTTTTTTTTTTTTTTTTTTTTTTTGAGATGGAATCTCACTCTGTCACCCAGGCTGGAATGCAATGGCACAATCCCAGCTCACTGCAACCTCTGCGTCCCAGGTTCAAGTGATTTTTCTGTCTCAACCTCCCTAGTAGCTGGGGGTACAGGCATGTGCCACCAAGCCCAGCTAATTTTTTTGTATTTTTAGTGGCCTCATGTTGGTGAGGCTGGTCTTGAACTGACTTCAAATGATCCGCCCACCTCAGCCTCCCAAAATGCTGGGATTAACAGGTGTTAGCCACTGCGCCTGGCCTAGTATATTGTTTAACAACAGTTTATTTTGGGTGAGAAATTCTCTTTAATGTGAAGAAGAAAGCTAGAATGTGAATTCATATCTAAAAGGACAAACAAAAAAAATTCAGTAACAAGATTAAGTTTTCTGCTATTAAGTTGAGCTATTTCAAGATAGAATACTAGATTAGGTTTCGAATTACAGTAGTCCCTCCTTATCTGTGGGGGTGTAAGACCCACAGTGGATGCCTGAAGGTGCCAAGAGTACTGAAGCCTTGTTTTTTCCTATACATAACTGTGATTAATTTATAAATTAGGCACAGTAAGAGATTAACAGCAATAATGAGAACATTTATAACTAATAAGTTATGTGAATGTGGTCTCTGAAAATACTGTACTGTGGGAAAGTGAAACAATGGTAAGGGAGGACTACTGTGTATCTTCATTTTGGTCTTAAGCTTTAGAATTATGGGTAACTAAAACCGTTTGAGATGTTATATTCCATGACTGATTTAAACTTACCTAGGAATTGTATTATTTATGGGGAAGGCAGTTATTTTTAAAATGCTTGTTTAAGGAAGCAGTTGCTGTATTTGAATTAAGATAACTTTCAGTAGAGATTATTAGCGAAGGCTGACCAGGTTCACTACGTGCTTATAGAAGTAAGCTATTTGTTGACAATTTTAGAGTTAAATTTGACAGTCTTGGTTACCTACCAAACTTTAAGATAGAAGTCAAGATTTCTGTTACCCAACCATGAGAGCTTTGGTTGTCTTATGTCATATTTGATAAGGATAGTCCTCTGTTAAATAGTGAGATATTAGAACAAATGGACTTAAGTAAAATCTTCAGTCATCTTTATGATTGCCCTCTATTATATTCTGAGTGGGAGAGGCCTCCCAAAGCCATGAAAGAATTGATAAATTGGCCTACCTAAAAATAAGAAATCTTACATTCAGACTTGGGGCTTTCACTTACCATAAGATGAAAACTAATTTTCAGTGTTTCCCCGTGTTAGGTGACTTAATATGCTAAAACATTTGGGGTAATCTATTTTAGATACATACCTGTGTCTGGGACCTAGTTCCCTAGCTCTACCAAATGCTAGCAGTATGAACTTTATGTACTTACAGTTTTTTATGGTCGAAGTGTTATTTTAAAGTAGTAACTATTGCATAAAGGATATCAGATAAGAGTTTCTAAAACCGAAATAGAGTAATAGTTTGTTTCCTTAAGAATTTCTAAATATATTAATTAGATCCAAGAGGCACACTTGTTGGGTTCCTTGTCACCTTTCTTGGAGCCTGTGACTTCCTTCATTCTCTTTTCCATAAAATATATTTAAGTTTCTAAGCTAAGAACAACTATTGTTTTAATCAAGAGTACCTCCAGAATGAACTCAGGATTTGAGATGGGTCCTTCCTGGCTCATGTTTGATATTCTTGTAAGTGTGGATCAAAATTCAACCTCAAAATTCTCAATAATCAAGACCAGGTGACTTCAAGGAGTGAACACATTGGAAAGCACTGAAACGAGGGCAAGAATTAGATCTCACACCAGCCACAACTTGGAGGTGTGTTTCTGAAATCTTTTTTCTTTTTAAAAACATATCTTAATAATTCAGAATGTAAAAGGATATGTAATAGTTTATACCCTTTCTTGATTCTGCTACCCTGTCCCAGGAAGCAATGCCAACAATGCAATAATCCTTTAAGGAAGACATAGGTGTAAAAAATATATGTATGTATATGTTACAGTGTTACATAGAAGCTTCCTATATACAAGTATATTCTTCATCTCACCATTTTGGAGATTGTTTTCAGTATGACAGTAACAGAGCTGCCATTTTCCTTTAAATAGCTATCTATAGTATCCCATTGAATAGATCATAATTTAACCAGTTCCTTAAGGATAATAGGATAATTATGGTTTTTGTTTTGTTTTTGTTTTATATAAATATTTTTTAAGAACACCGTTGCTGGGTATGGTGGCTCACGCCTATAATCCCAGCACTTTGGGAGTCTGAGGTGGGAAGATCACTTGAGCCCAGGAGTTTGAGACTAGTCTAGGCAACATAGACCTTGTCTCTACCAAAAATACAAAAATTAGTTGGGCATGGTGGTGCATGCCTGTGGTCCCAGCTATTTGGGAGGCTGAGGTGGATCACTTGAGCCTGGGATGTCCAGGCTATAAGCTGTGATTGTGCCACTGCACTCCAGCCTGGGCAACAAACCAAAACTTGGTCTGAAAAAACAAAACCATGTGATGTCACATGTGAAAAAAGACCTACAAGTGAAGTAGCTGGGCCAAAAGACATGCACATTTAAAAATGTGCTAATTATACTAGCTAAAACCTGTACTTAATATATGCCAGAAACTGCTCTGGTGCTTTGTTAACGGAGCCTGCTAAACAAAACTGCTTGTCAATAGAAGTTGTACTATGCTAAGCAATGAAATGTTTTAGAGTGCCTGTTTCCTCATCTCAGCAACATAATAGTTCTCAAACATCTTAGTCTTTGTTATTCTGATATAGATAAAATGTTTTCTATTACGAGTTTAGTTGTTTCTTTTTTTTATGTTTAAGCGCCATTTGTGGAGCCTAGCGCGGTGGCTCATGCCTATAATCCCAGCACTTTAGGAGGCTGAGGCAGGCGGATCACTTGAGGTCAGGAGTTCGAAACCAGCCTGGCCAAAATGGTGAAACCCTGTCTCTACTAAAATACAAAAACATTATCCGGGTGTAGTGGCAGGCACCTGTAATCCCAGCCACTTGGGAGGCTGAGGCAGGAAAATCGCTTGAACCCGGGAGGTGGAGGTTGCAGTGAGTAGAGATCACGCCACTACACTCCAGCCTGGGTGACAAGAGCAAGACTCCGTTTCAAAAAAAAAGAAAAAACCATTTGTATTATTTCCTGTGGTCTTTTCTCATTGGTCTTTTTATTAATAGCTTTTGGTAATACCATATATTAAGGAAAATGACCTTTTTGAGTTTATGATGCTTTTTTCATGCAGAGATTTCTTTATGTAGGCAAATTTAGCAATTCTTTCACTGAAAACTTTTCCAGTGAGGTCCTTCCCACTCAAAGATCATAAATCTACAAGACTATAAAAACAATTATCCTTTGTTTTCTTTTTTAAAATTTTTGATTAAACCTTTGATCCTTCTGGAATTAATTTTGGTGCAAGGACTGAAGTAGGGGCTCACGTTTCCTTCCCAATGTCAACCACTACTTTTGGTCTTTTAATCTATAAAAGCAGGGCACTGGGTTAGAATTTCCTAAATTCTCTTATATATCAAAGCACTCACTGCAAACTTGATCAATAGAGGAAAGTATGCTTTTTTTTGTATTTTTTACCAGTTTCACTTACTGTAAATCGTAAGATTGTCTTATAATAGTAGAAAAATAGCATTATCTTAAACCTGGATTTTTATTACTAAATATATCACTAAAAATGCTTTACCAAGCAGTAATGATTTTATTTCTTGGGGAATAAAATCAGGAAAGCTAAAGGAGCTGCTATGCCACTGTGTAAGATCTAGTCCTTTAAAAATGAAATTTCATACCTCACCATGTTTGGATTAGTTCTTCATGAGATTCCTGTTGGAGACTGACAGTTTTAGAGAAAGGCAGAGTATTGACATTAGGACGTGCCAAGACTTATAGAGACTAGCCAGGGAAAAGGACTGGATGTGGTGAAGTGAAGAACATTTCGAAAGTAAGCTCTGTGAGAGCAGTAAAACTTTCACTTTTGTATACTGCTTTGTCTGTAATGCAAGAAACAGTGTTCTATGCATGTTTGTAAATGTACAAATAACCAGGTTAAAGGGGATAGCCACCATTTAGCTCAGTCCCATTGCTAGATGGAAATGTGAATATAGGATTCCCAGATCTCTCAAATTTTCAAGTGGAACTAGAACTCTGTTGAATTCTGAATTTTAAATACAGTATTGGCAATGAATTCCAATTTTGGGGTCAAAACATGTCTATAGGTCAGATTCTGCCCAAAGGTCACTAGTTTGCCACTTCTATAAATTAAATAGTATAGGTAAATAAAAGTTTAATAATTTTTACTTGAGTCAGGTCCAAGGTTAATAAAAGTTTATATATACTTTACAGCTAACCATTGTCTTTATAGGTCAGAAACCCTCCTTGCCCTGATTGGAAACTCAACTTATCCTGCAGCAAAGGTAAATAAAAATGTTTCAATGAAACTTCATTGTGCTCCTGGGCCTTTATTCTTCAAGAGTTAACAGTGCAGACTTCTAGTGATCTTCATCCTGGGTGTTGCCACATCTACAGAATAGTGACTCAGGAGTGCAATAGACTGTCGCATTAAAAGGAAAGAAAAATAACTTTTCAGCTTATGTAGCACTAAATTTTGGAACTGGAAATGGCCTTTATATCATCTAGTCTTTCATTAGAAAGGC